CATGAGGCAATTGTCGTCGCCCTAGCACGGAAGTCACATTATTAAAAAAAGGAATGATTCACTGGTGTTTTGTGAGCGAGCATTTACACTGCGAACCCGGTGAAGCTTCTGCCAGCGTTTAAAAAGACCACACTCCAGAGGTGTGTATTGGTAGTTACCTCTTCCGACGAAACACCGGAATGTGAGAAAAACCAATGTTTTTTTTTATTGAAGTGTAAATGCAACTATATTAATGGGAACAAAATTCCAAAGCAAATTACTCATTGGGAGAGGTACATATTATCTTGTAGATGAGAAACGTGCAGAAACGCTCTCTCTATAAATTAGGCTATTGTTTTGGTATCAATTTCTTTTAAGTATCCATCTATTTCCATAACTCTGTTGGTAGTGGAAAAAATATCTGAAACACTCTATGTCCTTGGTGCATAGTTTTTAAAGGATCAGATGACATAAAAACAATTTACAGGTCAACATGAGAGAAAAAGAAGTATATATTTGTATAGAAGGAAAACAAATATCTAAAATGTAGAGATATACAGACATTTGAAAACTTTACATAAATCAACAACATCTTTGTTTATTTATCATCATGTCAAAAATATTGAATTGATATCAACGTGTGTTATCACCATGTCATGATCATGTTTTAAACCTGTCATAGGTGCACTTGGGCAGTATATTTTTGCTTGTGTAGGATAAACAAAGAAACTTTTGAGGTAGGATAAGCAGGAAATTTGCACAAACACTTTCAACTGCTATCTTGGCTACCTATGGATTCTAAAAGGAAGCATGAAAATCATGTTAGATTTTAATCTCTTCAATGTTCTAATTTCTCTTCACTTTCGTTGTTCCTGTGACGAGATGTGATTCTATTTTTTGGCAAAGGAAGAGAACCTACATGAGAGCATTATCAACAATGTTTTGCAAACACTTTAAATGTTATAGATGCCAAAGAACAACCTGTTTTCTATATTTTCAAACAATTTGTCTTTTCTGTTTTGTGTAAATAAATTGAATAATTGTTCTCTTATATTGAACTACAAAATTAGAGAGCTATCTCTGATTTCAACTGAAATCTACTGCATTATCACTTAATTCACAAGCCCATTTTGTTTCTTTTTCCTATATCTAGTTTCTTTTGTAGTTACAAACGTGTTAATTTAATTACTCATTATTCCTAAGTATCATTTGAGGGGTCCTCAATTGCACAACCATTGCTTTTTAGTGGACCCCTCTGTTTCCAATATGTATTCCTAAATTGTTGTTAATGATAATAATTGATTTCTAATGTTTTGTTGGAAACAGAAATAAATAGAAATTGAAATTGAAGAGAGACTCAAAAAAAAACTTTGATTCAAACTTTTTGGTCTCTGTTATTTGTTGGTAAACCTAAAATGACTGAATTTCTCTAAGTTTGAGGATGAAGAGTCCAAGAATAGAAGTTTGATGAGGAACTGGTGGTAGTGCTGGTGGTGGGTTGTGGCGGGTATTTTTAACCTGACATTTGGGTTTATTGCCATGCGATGAGAGAGGGGAGGACCGCTCCAACACCCACATCGTCATAATCCTGTCAATAGACCTGTTCACAAATGGAGAGCTTGTTTCCTGATATTAACTTCAAGCATGTGGAACATGACAGCTAGAAAAGATGCATTATGATTTCTGATACAATAGCAAATTAATTTTTAAAAAACTATTGATAATTTTGTGAGCTTAAAAAAAGAAATTTGAAGATAAATAGATCAAAGTGACATAAATTCTAAAGGTAATCTTCAAATCAATTTGTGGAAAATGCATACTAATATGATATAGCATCATCCAATGGGAAAATGTATCAGAGATATATTCATATGCAAGTTTGGAAAGGTATTCTCTTTATCACTCTCCACAATAAAATTAGCACAAAACAACAAGTGTTGTAAGGTTTTAACAAAACTTTTAAAAGGGGTTATGGTCTTGATTCATGTATCTGTTGTGTGAACAAAGGTTTAATGTTGTTCTTTTGTTGTTTAAAAAATCTGTCAGAATGTGAACAGGCTTTTCTATAAGCATGCAGACTCTCACTCAAAATAGCACTGAATTTCAGTTCCAATAGAAGACCTATTTATAACGTGATTTCAAAGCAATTCAATTATTGTAATAGGAAAAGTGTTGATGGGAGGGAGACAAACACAGTTCTTTAAATTAATCATCACTTTAAATCAATCAGTTTGGTCAAGCGGAATGAGAGTTATAGTTCTGATGTCACCATTGACGTCATAAAAGGAAATTGAAAAGTATTTGCCATTGTTTTTGTCTCGTTTGTCATTAAATTTGCCTTTTCATAGATGTTAAGGCACCTAGCTGATGCTTCATACATCATTAATTACTGTAATGAGATAATAAATTTGTGTGGAGGGGGAGGGGTAATACCTGTAATAATGGGTAAACAAGACATCATCACCATCACCATCACCACCACCATTACCAGTTTTGTTGATGTTGTTTTGCAGTTTTCATTATCATTATTATTCTTATTAATACTAGAAACTTCTGGAACAAGAAACTTTATCAAATTACAGAAATTTTGGGTTGTGTCAGCTGTGATTCAATTATTTTCTGGCATGAAACTTTCATGAATCTAAATCACTCATTAAATGTCCAAACCATATCATGCATGTGAAAGTGTTTTGTTGTAAAGTACATAAGAACAGATTTGTCACACTTCATAAAAAGTAAGAAATGAACTTGTATGATGAATGTCAGATTTAGAAAGATGGAATCTCACTTGAAAGAGGAATTGTCTTGGCTATTCACAGCACAGTCAAGGTCCTGATAACAATAAGGCATGGAAATAGTAAATGAATCAGTGCTTAATTCTGTAATCTATACATCCTTTAAGAGGTGCAAAGCACTTTCCAAAGGATACAAATTTTGACAGCTTTTCCCCTGATCGTTCAGTTTTTAATGGGGCTAATATAATTTGTGAATTATGCCCATGGCATCCACAACTAAAGCATTGGTATGTCCGATGCGAACGAACAGGGTGCTTTATAGAGTTGACATGTGTAAAGTACTAAAAATGATAAAAAAACAAAAATAATTTCAAGTCTCATTCACACATTAACCCTAAGAGTGCCACCAAGTTCAAGCACAAAATAAATTTTATGAGACAAGTCTTTACTCAACACAATTGCCAGGATTTTAGAGGATCAAGTCATGGAGAATCAAGTCATCGACCATTTAAACACCTTACTGTTTATCCCAAAAGGCGCTGGACAATTGCCGTATATTGATGTTTTAAAGTCTTTGGGATCATATTATTTATGGTTTCTAATTGTTGCATTTGCTCCAGCAACATTTTGCTTTGGGCTTTACTTTGTTTAATGTAAAGGGTGAGAATAGTGCTGCAAATGTGTTTTAGGTGTCAAAGCTTTAGGGCTAGGGTTGGGTTAAATGTCGGCTCCTGGGTTGAATGAAGTTGGGAGTTTGTTTAGTATAGAAATCAATCCTGGGGCAGTCATGGCCAAAACATGTGTCATAAGAACCTAGGGAGGAGTTTTTCACTTTTCCTGTGGATATAGAAAAAATAACGCAATGATATCCATCATTTCAATACATGACACTATTCCAAATTTCAAGGAGGAAAATCTGTTCTTCATCTACAAAAATAGAGAATATTAAAACTTTTGACACTGAAATGAGTAAGTAATCATTGAGAAGAAGTCAGTGGACATTCATTGAGGCTTATCAAACTACAATGGGGGCAATATCATCACAAACAAGGAAACCAGATTGGGCATTTTCCCTTAAAAATTATAAAACCCTTATTAGGAACATATGAAATGATTTCTAAACTGACCAGTGTAATTTTCATTTGTGACATATGAATGGCCATTAAGGAAACAGACTGAAATGAATGATTAAGCCACAAAAAGGCTCAATGCTGAAATCTTAAAAGATGTTGGATTGATAGATATATGAGCTCGTGAGTAATTTTTCCTGTATTGTTTTATCACTACTTTGTCTTGCAATTACACTGTAGGAAGCTCATAAAGATTGCTCTTCTAGAGTAGTAAAGCTCATCAGGGAAAGAAAAAGAGAGATGGACAGACAAAGAGGAAAAGAGATAGTGAGAAATACTGAGACAAAGAGAGAGAAAGACACATACCAATACAAAGAAAAAGACAGAGAGAGAGAGAGAGAGAGAAAAAAAGAGAGAGAAAGAGAGAGAGAAAGAGAGAGAGAATAAAAACCACATGCTTCTCATTTATCATGTTATAAAGATGATATCTATACACAACACATCATTTCTCATCATCTCATGGGGCAAGTTCATCAAACTCTTGATCAAGCCTGTGTTACATTTTTCTTATGTTTAACGAAAAAAGTATTTTTTTAAGGCATCGTATTCAGCAACTGTTTCCAGGACCTCATACCTCTCCAGGTCAAAAGCTTCTTTCTATAAAATTTCAGAGTTTAATGACGATCTTGAGAGCTGGCTAAACCTATAAGTCTGTAGTACCTCGGTAATGCTCTATCCTTCTTGACTCTTAAGTAATAATGAAGAAATGTTTAAACGTTTTGATTTTCTGTTCTTAACTTATATTTTAACATATGTTATTTATTTAAATTGTAACATATCTCAATTTACATTTCTCAGAGTCTCTTCACTTTTATCTAAACTCTATTATTGTTTGTTTCGATAAAAGTATATCTTTTCTCAACTATTTTATAGTTACAATAACAGGTCATTACTAAATGCATCAATCTTGTTATAGATGTTACACGTTTGCTTTTTCATCTTACTTTTAGATACTATATATTTTAATGGAGCAACTCTTTTCTTCATTGTTTGACAGTGGTCAGAGCGAGAGTTACCACAAACTATTAAGGAGCTGATTTACTCAGGACCTTAATCTTAACATTCACTATATATCTAGTTTATCACTGTGAAATTTGAATTTCACATTTAAATTTCAAGATTTTCATGAAGCATCTATTTTTCTATTATCTTACAGTGATCAGAGCAAGAGTTACAACAAAGGAGCTGATATATCCAGAGCCACAACCTGAGCCAATGGCAGAGTCCTCCTCATTCAGTGAAGTCTCATTCTCAGATTCTGACTGGGGTATAGATAACGAGGGACCGATCATGGACCAGAGTGAAGGATTATTGGCTGCTTCAATGAATCTTGCTGCTATGCCAAGATTACCTCAGGTAAACACCGCCAGCATTCCCCAGATTGTCTTAGAATTTCTTGTTTTTATTTGGGTTCTGAGGGAGGGAGTTGTTTTTGGTTTTGACTTTTGAGAAATAGCCTTACCTTGCAAACAATGTTACATACAAGCCTGAACACTATTTTCTGAGAATTGGTAGGTTACACTTCGGTCAATGATACCTTTATTCACAGCACCAAACCAACTCCAAATTGACTCCGAATCATTAGGGGTAATGTTACCTTTTCATTTGGTCTGGTGTCAGTTTGTTGGTATGTCTAGGTTATGAAGATTCAAAAGAAAGTAGCTTCTCTTAATCCCAAAATAATACCCATTTGTACACCCTTGGGCAATACCGTACATTGACTAATCTTACAATTTTGCAAATCAATACTTCAATAAGAGAAAGTACTTCTTGACGTCAAGAATTTGTTTGTCTCATAATAATCCCTTATTTCTACTAAAAACCCATTTTCTTAGGTGAGGGTACCCGCTGGTCTTCAGGCACCTCAGTACATGGAGGAGAACCGCCCAATCAAACTGGAATATACCGTCAAGGTTGAGAAGATCTATAAGGGAGATGATCTCTTGATGCCTAAGTCTACCGCCAAGATCGCCACAGCAGCCATTGATGCAGCGTGCGGAGTCACTGACTTAGAAGTGGGACAGGTCTATGTTCTAGCAGGTATGTTTCGTTAATGAGCTCATATCTACATAAGATATCAAACTGTCGGTTCATTACAAACATTGAAAATGTGATTTTTGTGTTTGGTTTCATGACAAATGGTTTAAAAAGTTTTATAGGCCTAATAGTTTTGTCTTTCTTTGATTTAAAAAAATAATCAAATCAAATCAAATTCAATCTAAAAATGAGTTTGTTTCTCAGCTCAGTCAAAACAGTAATGGAGAGTTGCCATAGGGTTTACAACATCAATATATCCTTGAATCAACTTCTTATAAGTTCCATCTGTTTTAGTATGACCGTTTTACGGAACATTATTATTTAATCAAGATGTTTGAAGCAACTGAAAATCAAATCAAATAGAGTGACAAAGTCAAATCGGCTTAACTCTTTAATCAAACCTTGCAACTCCTACTCACTCTCATCCTACATCAAAAAAAGTTGTGGGCCTCTGCACAAGCTGAGTTCATGCATAGAGAGATCATTGACACCCATTCCAGTAACACCTTATGCTTTAAAACCCGGCACTAAATATACACCGGAAAAAGTGGGGTAAGAATTCTATTGTTCTTGGTCATTGCTTTTCCCGCTGCCAAGCAAGGCTAGCTTGGAGCTGGCATACAGCCTATATGAGCTGGGCTGGGGTGATGGTGATGTTGAGTCCAGACCAGTTATCCCTGAGATGATGGATGGGGGCTCTTCACTGGCATGTCCCTGACATTTAAACCTAGTTAAGCAAGACCAACTTTCTGAGGTGTTACGTCCAAGTCTATTTTGGAGTGGGGGTTGGTGGGGAGGGGGAGAGTGGGGAAGGGAGGGGGAGAACGGGGAAGGGTTGGGGGTGGGGATGGTGATGGAAGGATTGGTGGACCACATGAGATGTACAGTGACACCAGTGGTGTCGGAATAGGAGTGGGGGTAAGAGGGAGGTGGAATCAGTGGGAGGTGCAATGATATTTTAATCTCCATGATTATTAAGACATGCATCTAAGCAGGAAATTCAAAGAATGTTGATACATGAATGTATAAACTCTATGTGATTCCTGGTGAAAGCAAATTAAGTTCAAACCCCTAATTTAGATATGGAATGGACACCATTTGCTCGATTAGATTAGTTAAGAGAACAAAGGATTGGGTAGTGAAATCATGGAAATGGTTCTCCGCAAACTCGGTTCTCCGCAAACTCCCCTCTCCATTTAAAAAATGAAGTGGTTTAATATGAGATATGTACCATCATTGAATACACAAACATTTATAAAGTTCAAATTTCAGTGCAGAAGATCAACATCATGCGCCTTCCTTTAATCTGGTATTAATGAAGTACAACGTAACACATAGAGTATGGTTAGAGTGATGCGCATGGCTGAGGGGCACATACCAGTACAGTCAGACCGTATGCATTTCTGAAATGTAAATATGGCATTTGCAGATGACGATGGTGTATCGGTCTGAAAGTGCATGAACCCTTACTACGTCCATCTCTTTCTGTCTTTCTCTCTCTCTTTCTCTCCTCTCTCCTTTTGTCAATCTCTCTTTCTCTCTCCCCATATTTTTTTTGCTTTTATTTTTCTCTCCTACTCTCAGTCTCTCTCTCCCTGTCTCTCTCTCTCTCTCTCTCTCTCTCTCTGTTTGTCTGTCTGTCTTTCTCTTTCTATCTCTATCTCTCTCGCTATCTCTCTCTCTCTCTCTCTCTCTCTCTCTCTCTCTTCTATGCTGTGCTACTGTCCCTCAGCAAGATATGTTATTTTTTTTCTTCTACTTTTTAATTTTCTCATCAATCTTTACCAAATAGTTTGGCCATTTAACAGATAGCATGGTAAATAAAGACCAAAATAACTCAGACTAGAGACTATTAAAAAAAGGATGTCATGCAGCAATCAAATCATACCAAGTATGTCAAATATTATCATTCAGACATTAGAGCCATTACTGTTATTACAAATAGGGGTAGTAATAGAAGTGGTATTGGTATTCAAAGCATTTCCGGTAAAACCACAGTAAATACTTCCATAGCAAATAACCGGGAGCAGTAGAATAGTGATAGCAGTGGTATGGTGCTGGTGTTACTGTTTCCACAATAACCTCTCCTGTTGCAAATACTGTCATATATTTTTGATTATTTTTAGGTTGAAACTATAAATAAAAAAGTAGAACAAATCAAAGTAGGCCATAACTTGCTACCAAACTCTCCGACGTTTAAATCACTCTCAGTTCTGTAAGATGACAAGTGCATCTGAGGTCAGTTTGGAACTCCACTGACCCTTTTACCTGCACCTTATCCTTGCATGTCTCTTCCCCCGGCTAAAGGTTGAGTAAGACATGTTGAAAAGACATGAACATTTCTAGCTAGCTGGTACACGGTTCTTCCTTTATCAATCATCTGACCGGGGATATTCTTTTAAATAAGATTCCTAATCCGTCATCTACCCATCATGCTCAGTGTCCTACTTCATCGGCGACTGCCGGTCAGAGAAGCGTAGAAACTTCCTTCGTTTGACCTTCTTGTGGTTGGTGTGGACATATCTGTCCCGATAGTGAAGTTGCACCAAAAAAAGGTGGATGTCTGTCCAATGATATCTAATTAATTCCTTAGCATAGGATGAAATTCTCATCTGAATATAATGAAACTATGATTTTGATAAAAGTGAAGTGTCTGAGGGAATCTATGGAGCTACATTCTAAAGTTTTCTTACAGAAGAAATCTCTTTATGCAATGGGTTGCAAATCCCTTCAAAGAGCTTGAAAGTTGAACAGTGTTTGGACTTAGAGGGTGCATATCTTTTCTTGCAGAAACATGATAAGTTTAACTTAATCATACAATTTCTATCAATGAAAGATATTTTATGAATAAAACAGAGCAGTGTCAATCAAAATTTTGCACATTGGGGCACAAAAGGTGAATAAGGTAATACACATGCAAAATGTACAGGTTTGGAACTAATGGAAGGACTGAAATATTCCAACTACTGTTGCACCGACCATACATACCCCTCTCCATATAAGTGCTGAACTATTATTTTGAGAAAGGGAACAGTATTTCTGAGACAACACAAGCATGGCTGGACCATGGCTGGACACTGGCTAGACAGGATAGGGTTTTTATCAGTCCTTTTACATGGAAACATCATCACTAAGTACTAAGTAGGAGATTTGGTTGAAAACATCATCAAATCAAAAACACTTCCTTTTTATCCTCTAGCAAAGCAATGATCGTTGGAGAGGAGTGATTTAATGTTCAATTCCAGAGAAAAAAAACCTGATGACCATCTACTGTAGACCTAAGCAGGTGATTAAACAGTCTACTGCTGAAATATGATTGCAATGACTACACATGTTTTGTTCAATAAAAAGATTTATAAAATTCTGTCTAAAAGTTTATGGGAAAGCAAGGTGGTATGGAAATGCTTTGAAATTACTCATGCAGTCATGATGATATCTAGGATTCAGGGTGATTAATAGCATGGTGCAGATTATATTCTGATTGAAATTGAAAAGAAACACTATCTTTTCCTGCATCAAATTTTAATCATCTTTCTTAGTAATTTCAAGTATATTTGTTTGCTGTGTTTTACTTTCTGAGTCAAGGTAATGCACAAAACAACTACACCCATAACAATTGATATGTACCTTTAACAGGAGGCCTGCTATCATATAGAATAATGTGACACCAGCCTATTCGTTAACCAGCTGCACCCTCCTAATCACAATGTCTCATAAATTTCCTCTCTTGTGGTGTCACCTTTGCTTGATACAGAATCTGATGCCCGATAAATCAAGAATGTTTTTACCCAAAATGTTTCACTAAAGAAAATGCAGAAGAGTTGAAGAAATAACATTAGTGACCTCAGCATATTTGAGATTAAATATTTGATATGGAATTTGCATTTGACTATGAATTTAATATCAAGTTTCATTTCATGTTTGAAAGAATATGAAGATGATTTCAGAGGCAAAGAGATTTCTTAAAAGGTTCATGAATACTTATAAGGTATAAAATATTTATATATTTTTGTTTTCAACTTCCTAAAGAAAATGGGAAAACAAGGAAAAAACTCTGGGTCCCTGATTTCCCCTCCAAACCCCCATTCTAATTCTCCTGACCTACCTACATTTCCTTTAATTATTCTCCCCTGTATCATATTTTCTGTCATTCTCCATCTACTTCTCTGACTGTCTACCCCTCTTTCTCCCCTCTCTTTTTCCCCTTTCCCCTTCCCCCTCCAACCCCCCCCCCCCCCCCTCTCCCTTCATCTCTCCACATTGAACACTATCTCAAGCAGGAGGGATGGTCATTTCATCATCATGGCCAGCTGCTCTTGATTGGATCATATTCATATCATAAACAGATGGTTACACCTCTCAAAAGATCTCAGCCAAGGGAGAGAGGAAGAGAGATAGAGAGAGAGATTGGCATTACGGTCTGCCAATTTGTCATTCTGACATTTGCTGATAGACTATCAAGAGAACGGAGAGAAGAAATGGAATTTGAAATGAACGCTTGTCAGGTGTGCAGCTCTTATGAATACCCCCCCCCCCTCGAATAAAGGAAAGAAAGAAAAATTAAAGGTTTTTTCTGATACTTGTCAGATAAATTATATGTCTGAAAGATAATAAGAAACATAGACATAAATACTTGTATACTATGATAATCATAATGATATTTTCATTTTTACCAAATTAAAAGCAAGTATAAGCTTGCACATAAACAATCATGGTACGCCAAAGATTTGATGATTGGGGATTAATACCTTAGTTACCAAAGGGCAAAAATGTGCTGACAAGGTTTCAAACTCCGGACCTTTAGTTACATGATCACTGCACTACTACTGAGCCATCATGCCTCCTAATACTGAAGAACAAACATTTATAAATCTACTGCGATTTTCATCAGTTTATCAACATTTTCTAAAAAAACACCTTTACCCTTCTCTCCATAGGGGCAAGGGTTATTTTAGGCCTTGTGTATATTACAATTGCCCTATCAGGAGATTGTTAAATTTCAAAAAGAAAAACAACAACATCAAATTCATGTTGGAATCAATCAATCTCCACAAATTCTACAAATAAATGAATAGGAGATTGCTGTAAAAAAGAAAAGTCTCAGCTGATAAGATCGAACAGCAACCTTTAAAACTTAAACAGGTTAGTTGTTAAGCAAAGAGGGGCACATGGAGGAGGAAGAGCGACCTGAGATTGAACCACCTCAAGAAACATGGTTACAAGACCTTCATCAAAGTTCAAATCAATGGCAGAATGGAGGAGATAACATCAGACAATGACGAGGCATATTATACCATAGATGAGAATTAATGACATCCAACCTCTATAAGTAGAGAAAGGACACTGTCTGCTGAGAGCCAGAGGGTATTAAGTTCATTTAATGAGACCTAATGCCCTTCTGGCTCTCCACATATGTACAATGTGCATACCAATCCCATTATGAAATAGTAGATTAAAGTCTGAAGATTCAGTCAAAGATTCAAACTAACCCTGAGCACTGGGACTATGTTGGTCTAGTCTGGATATCAATCTCAATTATATTTAATAGTCTAAAAAATACCTCATTACAAAGAAGCAATTACACTTAAAGAAGCCCCTTTTTTGTTATAAAACTAAACTAATACTTTAGGTGGTTGCAAAAACTTACAAAAAACTATCTTCTGATAAATCCTGTCTATACTGTTATTATTGCCTCCAGAAAATATGATCTGATTACAAAGAACTGAGAGTTTCAATTACCAACATTTTAATTATCAATGCATATTGACAATTGATTTAAACCAATAGAAACAGGAAATTATCATATACAGTGTCTATTGACATCAGGGAATAATGAATATACCATGTTCCCATGAAGACCTTGAATGTTGATGTCAATACACTCTATTGCAATTGACAATTGATGACTTTCATGAAATGCCTTCTATGCTGTTAGTTTCGCATATTAACAAGTTCGATTCACCTTTACTAGAAAGGGCGTCGGCCATCGGCATACCTGGCCGTAAAGCGCAACTTGCGTCATGCACTGGGACACACTCTTCAGGCACGGAGCCAGAAAACTCCAGATCCTCCGTTACCTAAAAATAATAACCCTCAAAATGTCAGCTGGTCTGATCAAGCCCGGCTACACAAAAAGTAGAATATGAATGTGGATAGATATCATCTGCTGAAAGGAAAGAGTGCATTAACTCCAAGCAAAACGATATGAATGAATTAATGCCCTTCTGGCTCCCAGCAGACAATAAGATGGAATAATTGTTTGATGCTAAATGATACTGTATAACTAGAGACTTCCATATGCATGAAATGTTCAAGAATATCCAAGAAGTTCAGATTTTCAACAGATTCATGCCTTGAAATAATTGAATCCCAATTGACAAAACACTAAATATTTGCAATTGGCAAATTTTCTTGCCATGAACAGATGGCCAGCATCCTCAACAATGCGATAAAAAAAAGAAGAGTTTTACAAGTGTTAACATTAATTTCTTTATGACAATCATATTATGATTATTTAATTGATCCACTATTACCCTTACTTCTCTTTATCACTCCTTGCAGGAACATTTTACAATGCTGAGCTGAGGATTTCATCTTGTAACTGGAAGGAGGGATACAAGAACATCACTAAGAGACAAAGACAAGGCATCAAGCATACCTACAAATTACAGTGTGGAAAATGTGAAGTAAGTACTATTCCTTTCAATTCTAAATCCCAGTTTTCAGTGTCAATTACACGGTCTATTCTTCATTAATTTGACCATTCAATCAATTCTGATAAACTATTACATATGTCGCTATTTTCTTGGTTCATTAAATGTATCACCATCTCTACCACATTCAACAATCATCATGATCTTCAGGGTGGCATATCAATCATCACCATATTCATCGCATTATTCATCATCATCATCCCCACCATCTTTATCATATCAGAAATAATTGCTGACACATTTATTTCACATTATTCAACATTATATCATGAGTTATATGACTTGTCCATATGTTGGTTTGAGTATCATAACAATACATAAATACCAACAAAACTTTCAATATTGGCTGACAGTTTCCATGAACTATTCTATGACAGGCCTCGTTGTGTTAGAATGAAAGAAACGACAATGTACTGACTCCACCACAAGAGGGAGTATGCCCTCTCTCTGAGTGGCCCTCATTGAGCTAACCTATTCTATCGACTGATAGTTACACACACACAAAGCATTGCTGTCACTCATTCACCATAGCTCTCCTTCTCTTGAAACAGATTATAGTAGCATAATGAAAGCAAATACTCAATAGAGCACACTGTAAGGAAATAAATATTCAAAAATATCGGTGACACATAATCTTATGAGATATTTGAAATTGAACCAAGTTGTTGGTATTTTGAGAATGTTATACAGTTTGAAACAGTAAACAAATACCATTCAGAAGGAAACAAAAAGGGAAACAAAATCAACTAAATACATAATTTCTGGATCTCTAAATTCTCCTTTTCAAATGACCCAAATCATCTTAGAATACATTGATGAGTAATTCCTTTGTAAGGACCTTCAGAATTTTCATGAAAATTTGACTCGGTAAGATCAGCTTGGCGTAAAGGCCTCTAAAAGGAATAAGTACAGGTAGCTAAATATGGCACATCAAATGATGGTCTTGATCCTATGTGGGCTATCTTCGGTAGGTAGAGATGTCATAGAACTCTGTGTCAAGGACAGGTTGTCCAGAGACTTGATCTTAAGGAAGTCATTATTAATGATACACTAATTATATCCTGACCTGAATCCTGAGGGAGTCTACTCTGGAACCCTATCTCTCATCTTAGATCATCAAGATGTCATGCGGTGGGTGGGGGGTGAGAAGGAAATGAAAGATACATTCAGCTGACTGAAATAGACATTTTTTATTAATCTTTGATAAATCTTTGACAAAATCTTTGACATGGCATCATCCCTAGAAGGGCGTTAGTTTTCTGTTGAACTATAGGAGTTAATGCCTTCTGGCCCTCAAGAAATGATATCTTCTTCACCACATTTGTTGCCAGATCCTCTTAGCCCCCGCCCCTCTCCTTCTTTATTCATTCATCTCCTACAGGGAGATTTCTTAGATATGCTTGAAACAGGTTGCTACATCAAAAATTTCATCAAGCAATTGATTCTTGCTGAAAGACAAGTTAATTAATGTCATGCTTGCCAAGGTTGACCTTGCAAAGCATTATTAATGTCAAGATTGAGGCAAGCAAAGTTGTAACTGGTCAAGTCCCTCAAAAAATAGCATGCAACAACGTCTTGTGACTACCTTGCTGAATAGTGCACCAATCCATCATTACTCTATTTGTCTGTTTTTTAAAGTAAAGAATTAAATCAATGACTCAAATTGATTTACCAAGTTTGAGATACATATATTTTGACTTCTAATCTTCATCTCATCATTGAAATGCCTTCTTATGATATTCATTTTGTTTCTTTGGTCAGATCTCCCCCTGCTACGGGCGCTACTGCCCAACGGAACCCGTGCCTGATGTCTGCATGTGGGACCTCTCTCACTTGAGGGATGACTGTGAGAGCCAATATGCCTACTGCTCCAGAGACGGTAGCGGACAGTGCTTCTGGAACGGAAAGACGGACATGCGCCGGTGCATCCGCAGACGAGCTAAGGGAAGGACACAGAGCCGAGGAGGCTTCATGCCATGAGCCACCAACAGAGGGTGTCCTCCCTTTACCCATCATGCCTGATTCTCTTCTTCCTGTTGGAGTGAAGTGCTCTTTGTGTACAATGTACATAACTTACTAATCATGGACACTCTCCTTTGAAGACTTCAGTGTTTGACATCATCCATAATCTATCAAACTAATCTATCATTTTCTGAATAATTACCAAACATTCAAAATACCCACTTTATTTCTAAACAAGAAAGAAGGAGGGCCACCAGGAGACAAAAATTTAGTAAAAGATGAAATCAAACAACTTTAAATGATTAAAAAAAAAAAAAGGAAATGGATAAATCGTCTGTCTGGAGCTCGAAGGGTGTTAACTCTTATACTTAAGAATATTCAGCGTTAACACCCTTTGCCTCTAAACAGATAAACTGATATAACTCTACATCGTATTTACATCTTCAAGACCACATTTACAGGGAATCATTGGAATGCGATTAGTTATTTTAATTATTAAAGGTACTGTATATTTTGTGTAAAGGTATTATTAGATTTTAATGTATAGATTTCATAAGTAATTGTTATTTGATATTTTATTGATTTAATTTAATTTGTACAGACTTTAAGAAGAACAAGCAAAACAAACAAAGAAGTTCATTAGATTTGATGAAATATTCAGCTCAATGTAATACTTAGTAGAGCTTATCCATGCATTCATAATTTGTCCGTTTAAATTACGTTAAATATTGCATCGATAATTCTTACTGCTATTTTACAATGTAAAAGTGTTTACCTTCAGAAAGAAATTGCCACATCACATATCTCAAGATAAAGTTTTGTTTCAACATGAAATAAAATCCATTTTCTGTATTGATATCCTAAGGATATCACTCTATCCTGTTTTAAAATTCTTATTTATTGCCCTCAGTCTCCGCACAAATACGCAAAACATGTGCAAAATATAGGATCATGACAATTTCTAAAAACTTCAAAAAATGCAAAGATGCAGACACATTGATATGTTTGAACTTGACAAAGAGTCTTTTAACTAATGTTTAAGAACTTTTAAGGGTCATTATTCAAACAGTGTATAAAGGTATAATTATGTAGATATATCGTATACTGTTAAATCCCTATTTTCTAAACAAGGTCCACAAAAACAAGATTCTAGATGAGGATTAATTGTAAAGCAATATCTTGCTGGTTTTACAAAATGATTATATAGATGATGAAAATCAAGGAATTTCTTTGAAATTACTGAAAATGTTATCATGGTATGTATGACTTTAAAGTCATAGATACCAAATTACAAAATTAATTCTTATTATATTCATTGAAAGAGCAGCATTAATTTCCACTCCCTATTAAAATTAGTAGCTTTAAGCTGAGGCCATTTCATAAAAACCAGCCAAATTGAATTGGATTTTGGTTGGTCTGCATCTAGTACTTGACTTTTTTTCCCTTTTTTTTCTGCAAGTCTTCTATTTTTTGTAAATATTGCTGACTTAATTCCCTCGGTATGTTTATTTAATATTCTTTGAACAAATTCAGTGTGTTTTGTTAATCTATTACTTATAATTAGTCTACATTATCATCTTTTGTCTTCCATAACTATAACTTTGTTCTGTCACCAATTTATAAAAGATTGAGAGTGAGAAAAGAAAAATGATACAAGTGAGGTTGAAGAGCACTATATGAAAGGTAGCACATGTAAATATTTTAAGTCATTTGTGATGTTAATAGTAATTCATATATTTCAGATGAATAACCAATATTTTGACAAACCAGTGCTTGTTTGTATCATGTGTAATTGTATATAATGTTAGGATAAATATCTATAACCTTCGTTCTGCTGATAAAAGACAATAATTGATGCTTATATTCTAAAATTCCTCAAAATGGTTTTGCTGAAGGTTCATCTTGTATAAATCATACTAACATTTCTTCATACCTACCTCTATATAATATCACTCTTTGTGAGAAAAAAAATGCATCCTTTTGTTTTTGTTTTTTGTTGTTCCTCAATCATGTCGCTTCTCCTGCATTCTTTATATGAACTCACATTATTTCTACTACTTATACCACCAATAGTGCTATTACCTCTACTACTACTGCTACTGCTACTGCTTCTACTACTACTACTATGATGAGGACTCATACTTCTTCCAATTACCATCCTTCCTCTTCTACAACCGCTTCTCTGCTACTCTTTCCTTTGCTCCTACATTTATTTTTACTACAATATATTAATTTGCTATTCGATTTTAAGCTGGCAGAATAAAGTAATTTAAATCTGGTTGGTACATCAATGAAAACACTTGAAGGTGAATATGTATTTCTAATAAGCTCCAGTGGACATCTCCCAATTGTCTTCCATCTCTAGAATTGCAGGCTTTCAATAGACTACAGAAGAAAGATTACTGAAGGTTTGCAAATGAATAACTGATGTGTCTATTTTTGTTTCATTCATTTTAGTCAATGTCTTGCTTGCTTTCAGAATAATCAATTAAAGTAAATGTTCTTTGATACATCTTTAGAGTATACATGAGTTTCTTTCTTTCAAAGTTATAGAACCATAACCATAACTACAATGTTAACATTGAGTTAAAATTGACCACACTGCTACAGCTGACCTAATAGAGGGGATTTTGTGATAGTGTACTGGCTTTAAGAATGTGATAGATTATAAATCATCACAATCACCCAAACTGGTGTGCCTCAAGCTAAATACCATTAAAATGACAAATCCTATCTCATCATAATATTTTGCACTCAAATGTTAAGATATATACATTTGGATTTGGAACGTTTATAAATGACTCACTGTACTTTTAACTCCTATTGTGTCTAGCATAGAGAATTGTTTGCTAAACAGCCACAGTTATAATAAGAGAGATCAATTGCTAAGTAGACTCAAGTTGCAATGAAGCTAAGCCAGTAAACCCAATGATAAGTAGATAAGTAGGGAAGATTTCACAGCTGGAGATAAGAATGTTTATTCAATGGGTTTACCGATGAAGGCTAATGAGTTCATATCTACAGTAGGTCTAAAGATCTGGATAGAGGTGTAGAGAGAGAGAGAGAGAGGGGGGGGGGGGGCAAGGGGGCACAGTGATGCAGACATACAGAGAGAAAAGGAAGGGAGTGGTATGGTACATAATTAAATAATGTTGATAATATGTTAGCTAAAATGAGCTGAAAATTAGTACAAATAAATACCAAAAAATTGTTTCAACACATCGCTGAAGGAGAGAGCAGAACAGAAGGGAGAAAAATAGAGATAAAAGGAAAGATATTAAGCAAGAGAGGGGGAGAGAGAGAGAGAGAGAGAGAGAATGACAGAGAGAGGAGGGAGGGGGAGAGAGAGAGAGAGAGAGAGAGAGAGAGGAGAGAGGGATGAGTAAGAGAAAGAGTGCAAGAGAATCGGAATACAGAGAAAGGGTGAACGGGGAAAGGGAGGGAAAGGGGGAGAAAGGGAGAGAGAGAGTGAGAGAGAGAGAGGGGGGGGGGGGGGGAGGGGGGAGGGGGAGGGAAAGATAGAGAGCAAGAGGAGATGCGGGATGTTGAAAGAAAAGGAATAGACAAAATATTTAGATACAAATAGACTAACAGAAAATGAAGGATAATCGTATCAGAATGATTAATTAAACATAATTCACAATATATGGAGATAATGACAATAGCCCAATAATAAAAGAACTAGATAGATGATTAAATAACTATGTCAAAAAAATGCACAAAGGGAAAGAAATGAAAATGAAATAATCTAATGATGGCAAATGAAGATGAAAGAGAAACAGAATTCCTAAGTAGAGATAAGAAACATGATTTTCTAACAAATTAATAACAATTTACCAAAATAACATATTAATCTTCTGAAATTGGGACTATTTTTCTTTTAAATTGCAATAGGTTTTTACTACTGCCTTCCTAACTTTATATTCAAAGAAATCAAGAATAGTATATTTTGGTAGAGTTAACAAATGTTAATAATTTAAACATAGTTCCATATTAAACAAGTGGAAAAGGGTATTTCTGAATAATTTCTTACTTTCTGATACACTTCTTTTTATCATTTAAACAGATATTTGTGCTACCTCCACTCTCCTAGCTGTCATTTCTTCCCAACCTCCATTACCCTTCCATAAATGTAATTTAATCATAATGATAATTATTTGTAAGGACAGGACAAGATACTAGTACATGTCAAGTTTAATCGAATCAAACATGTTCCGTGAAAGAGAGGAAATTGTCGATCACAGATCGAAACTTGCACCTGCAGCCACAACACTATAGTTATGCATCTCACTCAAAGGGTCCCTATCTGGTTGGTTTCATCTCCTATGTTATCTCCATTTATGGGGTCTATGTGGACATAAAACGATAAAGAGAGAAGGGAGGGGGGGGGGTCTATTTGGTTGAGCAGGCAGGCATGAGTGCGTGAGTAAACAAAGACCAGCACCAGGTGCTATAGGCGCGTGCCCAAAGCCTATTAAAACTCTACTAAATATGCATGTATACACCCCCTGCATCGATAATGCATACTAAAGACCATGGTATAGTAGCAGTAGCAGCAAGGTTTAATGTTTAATGGACTACTACCACAGCACAAGCCAGCCAGCCAGCCAGCCAGCCAACCAAGCGAGACTGGAAGTTCATTGTGCTAAGGCCCGGGTCTGATCGCATGGGTGCATGAGTGCGTGCCCTTCGCTCTTGCAGCCACGCGACTTCTTTTGTTCTCATGTGTTCATGGGGGTTGGTATAGAGCACATACTTTGGGAGCGGGGTGCTTATTTACCAGGTTGGCTCTTGTGCTAAGTACTAGCATTATATTCTCTCTCTCTCTATCTCTCTCTCTCTCTCTCTTTATCTCTGGCTCACTCTGTACCACAACTTGTTTCAGGGGGTGCAGCAGCATCAATTCAAGTGATTCTATCCTCTTTTTTCTCTACTTCCACGCGTTGGCGAGACTTTTGTTTGAAGTGTAGCTGTGGTAGAAGAGTTATTCATGCAAGAGCTATCAAAGGTCCCACGTGCCCTCGCGTGCCGGCCGAATTAATTGTCTTGACTGGCAGAACTCAGCCAAGCTACCATCATCCTTCTATTTTTCTTCTCATTGGCATAGTCTGGCTGGAGTAGATGAAGGAAAACAACTTTGGCTTTCAGGGACTCTGAGCAGTCAGTCAGAGCAAGTCTGAACTTCATACAGTCAACATCTCTATTAGTCTACCAGGAGTACAACTTTAGAGCTCAAAAGGCTACATGTTATTCTGAACAGCCAAACTTTGTTATAAAACAGCCACAAACATCCTGCCTATTTGTTGGTGAATGCATGCTGTGACTTCATCCTGAACTTCTGAAGTGAATCCAGTGCATTGTTTGTATTTTGGCTTCATTCATCCCCTAATAAGCCATCTCCAGCCAAGTTAGCAGGATTTAGGATCAACATTTGGACAATCATAACACTTGTCTCCCTTCCACCTCCTTCAGTACGGTTTGAAAACGTCAGCCAAGGAGGTTGTAGCACGATCTTCTCTCTCTCATCCAATCTTGAATGAGATGCCAATCAGGTGTAGTCTTACGCCAGAGGAATTCCACGCCTAAAGTTACACTCCGTTGAAGAGCATATCCAGAGTTACATTATCCGCATCCAAGCTGACTCTTCTCACTCGTAAACAACAAGTCTGATTGAAGATGGAGATGCTATGTCAGGCATTGAGAAGGACTATGATGATGATGCTGATGTTCATGGTCTTACTCCTGAGCTGTTTTCTGATGGAGGCTGACTTTGTCCAGGCCTGTACCTGCTTGCCTAAACATCCTCAGCAGCATTACTGTGACTCAGATTATGGTGAGTGAAACATCTTCTCTTCAACTTTGTATAAAGTTCCTTCCAATTCCATTGTAGTGTTTTGAGTGGTCTACCAATTTTCAACAATATAATGATGTTTTCAAGTGTAAAGAAACTATATTTTAGAAACATCCCTCTCAAAATGTATATAATGTTAACTTATTAATAATATTTGAGAAGAGTCTGACTATGATTAAAGATAACTAACTTTCTTGTATTTTATATTGTTGTAGCAATACATTCTCATCACAAATATTTTAAAACTTTGACAATATATCAACAAATTTATATGAATACCAAACCAATTACTTTTTTGCAAAGCTAATGAACTTTGATCATAAACGTTCTGTATTCATTGCATTATCAAGAATATGATTGCCTCTTCTTGAAATCTAATCTTCTTCTTGTTTGACTAAATTTGTAGATTTACTTCATATTTCAATTGAAAGATGGGAGGTTATCTCTGTCAATCTGACATTTGAATGTACTTGACCTGCTTCAAATAGAACATAAACCAGTGGGCTTTAATCAATACTAACACGCTACAATGTTCGCCTATGCTATGCAAAACAGGCTTGATTATTGAATTTGAAATAGATAACTAGAGTTATGAAGGTCATTATGCATGTAAATTTCTCATCAATTCTTGCTGGATATTGATCGTTATCAGGTTTTTGCCTCGTCAACTTAGCTTAATAAAGTTTGATTATACATCAAAATTGCAATTTTTAGGAGAAAAGTAAGCTTGAAATTATGAAATGAATTACATGTACATATCCTTTTTAAATAAAAGGTGGGGAAATTACACCAAGTTGCTGAAGATTCCTGTTTAAAAGTGGCCCAGTGTCTTAAATTTCAGTGTTTATTTCTTAACTAAAGGTTTAAGTTTGTCTAGTTTTGTTTCTGTTTCTGCTTATTTTTCTAGGATGGGTTATAAACATTAATCTAATGTTATCACAAAACAAGCATGGATTGTCATTTTTGAATTAGTTATACAAAACATATATTTTAAGTCAGAAATTATGAAAGGAGGAGATGGAAAGACTCATAAAATTGGCTCTCTAAAATTTAAAGTAAAAGATGGCTCTGTTCGAAGATCAAAATGTTACAATACCAATCATCTTCTTCTTCTGGAATACTCCTCAACATCCCGTTAGGAACCATCAACTTTTTATTGATGAAAGTTAATTTGCAAGTAAAGTATAAATTAACTAAGGTAAAAATCTAGCAATCTGCATGGAGAGCAAAGGTCATTGTACACTTCCATCCTTCAAAATCTTTCACAGTCCTCAACCCTCAGACTTCCACTATTCAAAATGATGTTTGATTTTGTGATTCCTTCCCAACTATGTTTGCAGAGTCTCTTAAATCCTTCCACCTCACCCCTTCTTAACACTGCTTAGGTTTCAGTTGATGGTCTTACTCACAAAGGTTTCCCTCCCCTCTGTGTCTTTCACATATCCCTCTGACACAAACATGGAGTCATTAGCTGGAGTTGGGCAGATGGATGCCTATGGTGAAGTTATTGTTAAAACAAGAATATCGCAGGACAATTGCTCAAATTAGGGGAGTTTTTCTTGAGGGTAGATTATCCAATAAATCGCCTGGGGCTTGAGCCTTCGGGAGTGGGGCAATATTGAGGGATATTGTTTGCATATACAATATATCGCCTGATTGGGAATAAGAATTGGTTATCCATCTTGAATTATTTTCCATTTTAATGACTTTCTGCCGAAAAGCATAAGATTACATTGAAGGGTATTTTCATGTGCTATATAATATGAGTTAACGTAGCCGAAATTAAACATAATTTGCAAATCAATTGCCCCTTCCAGCCTCAAAAAGACTCTTTTTTCATTTTTTAAAATTACCATATTTAGTACCTAGTAATTTGTTTCAATGACCATTTCAAATAATGTCTTGACCTGACCATTTAGTTGTAAGAAAAGACTATGGTCAGGATGCCTTTGTTAGACTTTTAACTCTTTGTGTCTTTCATGGACAACCCCAGCTTTCTGAATTTTCTTTGACCATTTTCATACTACAAAACAACACAGAACCTCAGCTGTAACTTTGTGGTCAAACTTCTGTTTTCAATGAAGTGACGAGTGAAACTTTACAATTTCCTAACTTTGCCAATCAGTGATTGAAAGTGTGATTATTCCCTGCAGGCAACTCCCAATAAGTATTTTCAGGCAGCTATAGGTTTTGTTATGAAATAAAAGATAAGTTACTGTATGGAAATTCTCTGATTCATGCCTTTTTCCCTCTCCCTTTCTCTCTCTCGTTCTCTGACTTGGGATAATCTGACATGTCTGAATTTTCAGCACAATTGGCTTTTTCACAAACACTTTGCAGGTTTCTGATCGCTTGTTTGCAACTCTTTTTCCTTCATTGGCCAGGTTCTAAGGGTTTTTCTTGAACCGTGATAATGAGGTTCTTTTCAGTTATTATGATGCCCTCAGGCATGGGACCAGTTCAAAATTCTGGATATGAAAAACAATTTGAAAGCCATTTTGTTTGTCCTTTTGCCCCCCCCCCCCCCCCCCTCTCTCTCTCTCTCTCTCTCTCTCTCTCTCTCTCTCTCTCTTTCTGTCTCTTATCTATCCCTTTTCATATTTCTATCTTTGAATATATACACCTCTCTCTTTCTACCTCTTTATTTTCAATTCCTCTCTCCCATTGTTCTTTCTTTCTCTCTCTCTCTCTCTCTCTCTCTCTCACTTTTTCCTTTCTCTCTCCATCTCAATCTTGCCTTAAGGAGTACAAGAGTAATCCCCTGGTAAAACCATGTAAGAACAACTTGCATCAGTTTCTGAGTTCCCTCAAAACAGCGGCAGCCTTTTCTTCATTACCAATAATTATCATGCAGATCTTATAAAAACAAAAAATTCCATTAAGGTAAATTACAGACACTAATAAGGCATGGAAAACCATGCAATCATTATATATTTGTTGTAAATTGTGAGTTGGTCTTGTGGCCAGCATGCGCCTCTAACACCAGTCTTTTATTGATTTTTTGCATCCCTTCATCCGGAGCTTAGGAGTCACCAAAGCCAAACAATTGTCGCTTGGCATGAGCTATTGTTAGGGGTAGCGTGGGGTGGGCGGGCGGGTGTCAGGATGCAGCCAGGGCTTGGCACGCGCCTCTACCAAAGCCAACATAATACAATAGATGACAAACAGTGTGCTGAGGAATGAAAAGAAGTTTGGGAGCTTAGAAGGGGAGAAATCTATCTTTCTTTCTCTCTTTTCTATTCTTCTCCTAACTGGGATGTGTAGAGGTTGATTGGTGAAAAGACACTCCATTTCATTATAGCTAGGGCTAGGTTGCTAAGCAGATGTTCACTCACTCAGGTCCTATTTGGGAGTGGATTAGAATGTTAGTACGCAGCTGGTGAAGTGAAGGTGAAGCATTTCAAACGTGGGCTAAGGTGTGATGTCATACTGGTGGCCAATTTGAGCACACAGCATGGTCTTAATTGTGTTGCAGTTAACCTATTTATTGAGCCAAGACATCCCAGATGGTCCTCGCCTGTGTAACAGAATTCATCTTGTGGTTGCAACAAGTACTTTTATCCTATTAACTCAATGAACGCTTGTAAGGCTTCACCAAATTGTAGCAAATTTGTTTCGGTCATCGAGTGTAACAAGTACCCTTGTTGGATAATCATATTAGGTTATATGGCTTCAGAATATAGGATAAGAGTTAATCACTTTAAAGTGATATTTCACTTCCCCTTTTGGTTCCTTTTGGTTCCTTTTGGTTACTCCCAACTCTTGTAGAGCATAAAACCACAATTTCTTTTGGCTTTGTACAAGTTTCTTTTTTTGCTGGTGGGATGGAAAAACAGCAGGGGGTTAATTATATACTTATTCAAAAGCTGGTATTTTCTTCATATTGTGACCACATCCACTTTTACAATTAACCCTTTGAATACTGAAGCCAAGATAACTTGGGATGGAATCTATGAAAACTGAGTGTTGTACTAAAATCATATTGTCTCTCTGAGGTGAAATACTTCATCAACACTGACTATATGACACATCTACTCAAGATATAGACTTCTGTCCCAAACTTCATGAAAACTAGGTTGGATGTTTCACTGTTCATTCCTAAAGCATGAACAGTCTGTCAAGGGTCAAAAGGGCTCAAAGTAATATACTAAACATGTTTTGGGTCCTTCTGGCTCTCATCTCTCAAATTTCCATGAATGAATCTATAAGGCGGGCTAAATAGGACATCATTATTTTCTATGCTGCGGTGGTAGGAGGGCATCTATTCATTTCACCCTGATGCTATCCGCACATCGGTTGACGGTCGTGCGCTGGTGTTGTGACAGCCCATCTTTTATCTATCATCCCAAACAAAGGAAAGCAGACAGTACAAAGGTCCCATCTAAAACCAATCTAACCGCACACATCCATAGGAAGATGCCTCTCAAAGGTGGCTAGGAAGATAATGAACTCAATTCTACTGGCTCCCTCTCATATAAACTTATTAAAAGCCCATTTCTAATAAATTAAAAAGAAGAAGATTCATATGACTAAACCAAATGGTGAAATTAAGTAATTACTCCAGAAATGGGAAGAGGAGAGAAAGAATCTATTTGAGCATATTCAACTCTGATTATCATAACTACTTTGCACTATCGAAACCGGGTGATCCATGTATTAAACCTACAGAAGGAAGAGAATTCAGTAGTCAGATGTTAAATGTTTCTGATGGAATACACAAAGCAAACTTTGGGTCTAATTGGAACAGCTTTCAGGTTTCCTATTGTTGCTATCCTACTAAAGAATATCAAAATTGCTTCTTGATATTGGTTCTTCTGGTGTTAAACTAAACAAAATTGAAGGCTGCGTATATGGCACTATGTTTGCTGTAGACAGCTGGAGTTTGTTTAGCCAAGGGATGGGTAAAGAGGATAAAGTGTCTTTGACAAATAAGACTTATTGACAAGACTAGGGCCAGATGGAGAGAGTAAATATCATTTTGG